TCTCTCTCTCTCTATATATAGAAGGTAATTAATTTGTAGGACTCCTTTGACTGACTACATAAGGCTTTGCTGTCACATGTTTATAAACAGAGGATACCTGACACTTTAATGGATAAGGCACGTGCTTGTTAAAATAGGAAAAAGACAATGCCCAGAGAGGCGTGGTGTGAACACTCCTCTGAAGCTCGTCCTAACCCTAACTCTATTAGATTCCCTCCTGCATTTATCTTTGAGGGAGATGAAGAAAAGGGAACGGAAACACATCACAAAAAATCATAACCAAAAAAGGTTAAAGGTAACTTTGGAGCTGTGAACTGCATCCAGCACTCAAGCTTCTCTCTAGGTACTCAGCAGCATCTGTGATGCTCTTGAATCTGGACTGTTGCTCATGAGGGAAGCTGGGAAACATAGAACCTATACTACCCATATTGTTCTGGCATCTTAAGATGGATGTTTGCATTTAAGCATACAAAGCAAAACTTCCTATTTTAACTGAAGACAAAATGTCACCACTTAGTAATTACTGTGAAAACACAAACTTAATGCCTACAAATACTTTTGCCAAGCTAAAGTTGCATACACTTCAGATTAAAAAGATTTGTTTTCTGCTTAAAACTCTAAAAAAAATACCATAAAGAACCCACCAAGCAGCTATTTTACAACTATTATTATTTCCCCAAGTTCTGTTTATTTCCTTAATAGTTCTGCCACATTTCTTTCAACAATTATCTCTCTTCTCAGCATTACACATGGGCTGCTACGAGAATCAATACTGCTCAATGTTTTGATTATCAGCCTGGCCTGTGGATCAAAACATACCTTCACTGTGTTTGCAGATAATGTCAAATGGGGGGAAAATGGTCAATCAAGGGGATGGCAGTATCCAGAGAGGCTGTGGAATCTCCATCCTTGGAGATGTTCAAGACTCAATCAAGAGTCAAGTTCCACAGCCACCTGATATGAATCCCAAGCCACTGCTTTGCACACACAACTCATTTGGATGATATTCACAAATCTCAGCCCAGCATAAATTTTACTGTGATTATGGCAAAAGGATGGTAATTCCCTCACCTTGTTATTCTATAAATACTAGTCTCGCAGTGCTAGATATGGATACTGCCGGATTTGCAAAATTTTTTTTCTTGTTTAAAGAGTCTTGATCAATTTCACTGAAAAAACACCTTTATATATACATATATAATGTATATACAAAAATAAGTAAAACAGTATGGACAAAATGTCTGTTGGAAGGAACTTCAACTGAATAATGGGTTTTAATCTACTGAGAAATTATAGGAGTAAAAGGAAAAAAAGAAAAAAAAAAACCATGGAGACATTCTGAGAAGCAGAAATCATCTGGAAATAGTTTGGGTTTAGAGTTTCTTTTAAGTTAAGACTGCAATACCCGTAAATTGTAATTAAAAGTTTGAAGTCTTTTCATATCAGAATTATCTTGAAATGAAGTCCGTAGTATTTATAGAACACTATGAAGCAATTTCCAAAAGGAAAGACCCAGGACTAAGCATTCATTCTTAGTCCATTCTAAAAATAAGTGGTTTACAGTTTAACCGGTTTTACAAAGTTAAATATACAAAAAATTCTCATCACAGAGGTATGAGTCCATGAACACAGGATAAAACACACAAACCCCAGCAAAAAACAGCTTGTGGGAAAACAGAGTTCAAGACAAAAACTTAACTTCATCTGAACTCCAGGAACCTGCATACAGAGACAGAAATTCCCAAGGAAGTCGAGAAAGGATGGTCAGTGAGCATCTAAGAAATATCACAAGCTTTTGTACTGGTTCCTAGGAACAGAAACTGAGGAATTTAGGTCTGAGAGAGAAACCTTTTCAAGAAAACTGCTAATCTAGCTTGCTTGCCAATTGACTATGTAGAGTTCCAACCAGACATCTAGAAAAATCTGCAAGTGTTGGTTGACACTAGGTAAAGAAGTCTTTTCAAATGAAATTTAATTTTTATTTTTTACTGACTACATATTTTAACTGGCAGCTTTTATGCTTCTCTTAACTGCAAAGGGAGAGGCCAAATAGCCTTAATTTCTTGTAGATCTCCACTAATTCCATTCTGTCTCGGGGTACAGGTGTATGAGTACAAAGAAAGGATAATCAAGAACCATTTGTTATTTTGCAAATGACAAGGGAAGAATTTGCTTATTAGCTATGAAAAGTCTGCTGCATTCCATGCTTTGTTATGCCACTGAGCTACAAAAGCTAATAAAATTCCAAAAGAGAAGCCAAGCTTTTTGATCACAGGTTTTTTTTTCTTCCTGTTTTGGCAGAAGTCACATCAGGAACATCCTGTACCAGCCAAGAGAGTCGTCATGGGCTATTACTCGAAAATTTCACTAACTGCTCACTAGTCAGACTTCATCATAGTATAAAGTCATTATGGCAGCAGTGCTATTACAGTCCCTTTCATCTCAACAGGATGCTGTGCTCCTTCAGGAACAGTATAATCTATTTTTCAGATAATGACTTCATGCATAGCCTATACATTCACACCATATTAATACACAGCCTATGTATTCAATAAAAATAATTGTATACCAAACTGGGATTTGAAGTTCATGTTCAGCCAAAATGTAATTTTTTTTATATTGGCAATCTTACGTAATACGCAGAGAAGACAGACTGAGTTGAGAATATTTAATAACAGGATTTGTACTTTTAAAGAAAAGAAGCTTAAGCACTGTTTAGCTTAAATTACTGCCAAACAGCTGTTGTAAGAAGAAACGTGCTACACTCACCACCTTGGAATAATTCCATTCTCTAAACTGGTTGTCTGACTTCGGAGCCAGCGACGTTGGTAGCTGCTAGAAGATGATGATGAAGAGCTTGGAGATGGAAAAGGAGTAACCAGAAGACTGCTCAGAGATGCTATGAAGAAAGCAAGAAACCCCACATATAATGAATCACAAAGTGCTGGTTAAGTATTTTTCTTCATACTCTAACAATTTCTCACAAATACTGCTCTTGATTGCTGATCTTTTTCACATAAATCACTTGCAACAGGAGAGAATTATTTTAAATAAATCTTGCTGTTTGAGGACATTAATTTGTTATAAAGCAGGAGATCATCCCTATTAAAACATACTAAAATCTATCTTATTGAAAGTATTGCACTCCCATTACAATAGACATGACAACTTCTGGTCTTCATTTTCCTATTTAGTGTAAAAAACAACTTCTCTTCATTTGCTCTACTAAAGGCTCCAACCAATTCTTCCTCCAAATTATAAATTGGTTAAGAACCCAGAATAGCGTGGCTGTAAACAAAGAATATTACAAATATTTTTGCATGAAGGGTCAGAGCAAATGCAGAAGGCAAACCACCTAGCAGATAAAAACAATTACAGATTTACAGGTCATGAGGTGTCTGCATTTCAGGTGAATCACTGCAGCAAAGAACTGTAACAATTACAAAAGTAGGCAAACAAGATAGACAGCAGATACCTGACCGAGCAATGCCGCTGTCTCTGTCCTCATTTTGTCCTCTGCTAGGCATATCAACAGGTGTGCTGTGTGCTAAAACAAACAAAGCAGATCAATAGAAGATATTACATAATTCATCACACTATTTGACAGCATTTAAAAAAAATGTTTAAATTTAAAGGTCATACACCAAAAAAATTACATCTTGCACTGGTGCTCAAAATCAGTACGGTGTGAAGAGAAGTGGCAGCAAACAGTAGCCTATACTGAGTATCATGTTATCAGAGGAAAGTCATTTGCCCCAATGTAAATGTAAAAATATCTCTAAGGAGCTTAAGAATATGAACACAATCTGCATTAACAGAAGCCAGATATACTTGGAAAGTGAAGGCTGGTGGTACCAGTCAGTCCTGATAAACTCTGTGCAAGATTGTCCTTTAAGACAGGTTAAGACCATAATGAAATAGTCTAGCACAAGGTCCGTTAAAAGCTTCTGTTTCACTTGCTGAGCTGAGATTTACTCTCCACAAAACCTCACAGTAACAAACATTCAGCCTATATAACATTACATCAAAGTGTTAGTAGTGCAAAATTACTCAAATTGTAGAGCATGCATAATTTGAAAAGACTGTGAAGAAACTGCATTGGTATTTCAGTTCATATTTTTGCAATTAACAGAAGTAATTAGGCCTGAGATCTACCCACCTGTATGGATCATCATTCTGCCTGTAAAAGGAGACTTTATGTAGCTTAAAGATTGAGAACTAAAGAAATTGATACTGCTTCAGAAAGAAAACCCTTAAAGCCTCCCAGACTTAGCTCAAGAATTTTGAATGTCTGCCATCACATTAAAAAGCAGCAAGAGATAAGAGAAGAAAAAGCTGTACATCAGCAAGACACTTGCATGTTAGCAAGAAACCAGCAATAAGCCAGGAAACATAAGTTCTCTAAGAAACATGAGGGCTAATTCATCTTTTGAAACACTGCATAAAAACATCTTTAAAATTAAACAACACTTTTGCCATTTTTTCATGTATATGCCAGATACACCTGTTGGCACTATTTTAGCCCTCTGTTTCTAGAGACTAATTATGCATGTCCTGCAAAGATTCAGAAGGAGATGAATTTGTGTGTACATATGGATGGGTCACACTGTGGCTGGCATTCCACACAAACCTGCAAAGAAAGAAGCACTGCGGATGAGCCGGAGGGGACCTCCTTCAGACACACCCTGCAGCAGTTTGCTGCTACACAGCTGTAACACACCTAGGAAACAAAAGCAACGTAGAGAAAATGCAAAAAAATGCAAAAAAAAAAGTAAAAACCCCAAGGAGGTGATGTACTGGGAAAAAAAAAAGCCAAAACTGAATGAACAGATGGCCTTGTGTTGTCAGAAAGACATAGAACCTGGAATTATTTACCTAAATTACTTCCACTGCGACAGGTTCCCAAACCATTCTGATTGGAGTTCAGTTTTCCCAAGCTGGGGTCTTGGTTGATGTATTCAAAGCTATCTTGTAAGCTAAAACAGAGGGAAAAGCCAGTGTTCTTTGAGAATGTGATCAATTGGCATTAATATTAGCTTAAGAATTAGGTTCATTTTATAATAAAAGAAGGCTGAACATTAACTTGACAGCCAAATTGAAGGACAAGTAGGTTTCTGAAACTGGAAGGAAGCAAGCATTTATTTTTTATATTTGAGTTAGTGGAAGCTTTTTTGGGATTCAGTTTATTCATATTTGCCCATTTTGGGGAGGAAGTACTACAGAACAGCATATTTGTTGAAGGAAACAGAAGTGGGATAAGGAGACAAAGCATTCTCAACATATCCCTTCCTCACCCTTCTGACAGTAGGAAGACATGGAGGTTTTGATTGTCCAAAGCACCTAACTTCTGAACTTTACTGCATGTCCTGGACAAATTAAGAAGTAGAAACTTGGAGATTTTTTTTTATTAAAAACTTGGCTGGCCTAACTAGGATCCACTAAGAGAATTCTTCTCCACATCTGCCTTCCTGATTTTCAACCAGAACTACAAAAGGAGAAAGATAGACAGACACTGCACTGGCTGGGAAAGAAAAAAAATTATACATAAAAAAAGATGTTCTTACTTATTGTTGCTTCCACTGAAGCTTCCTACCCTGGCTGAGAAGACTTTACTTATCATCAGCTGTGGGGGAGAGCTGAAAGGATAAACAGTCATTTCAGTGAGTCATAATTCCAAGTGTCTGACAAGACAGTGCATCACAGAAAAGGACACTCACCGTATGTAGTGAATTTTCAAAGTGGAGCCTTTGTAACTCATTGCCACGGAGCCAAACATCATTTCTCCCAGCATATTGACATCAGAGGCTGGTCTGGTGTACTACACAGACAAGAAGATGGGAACAGCAAAGTCAAAAATAACTTGGCCTACTATTTCAACTTAACCTAGTGCCACAGTGATGCATTTGGAATGGAGAACACAAAGAAGTTAATCTTTTCAATGAGTAAGATCAGTGTGCACTCAGTGTGGGTTTAAAAAGTATAGCACGAAGAAATCCTGCATTTTGCTCACTGGATGAGTAGTGCTACCCTTGTTCCAGGGGGACCTCCAAAGGCTAGAGAGAAAAAAAGATCTACTGCATTTCCAAAGAAATAGCTGTGTCCAGCAACATTCCCATATAACAGAATGTTTGATAAAAGCTGTAAATGTTAAGAAGACTTGGATCCTGTGGTCTGAATCCCCAAAAATAAACCGCCTTCCTTATTCAAATGAGTAAATTCATCTTCCTTGCCCCCACAGAAAGCTTCTTGGAAACATTTTTAATTGGAAAATAATTTGTGATTATACTTAGAAATGCAATCTTCAGATCAGTTGCTTATTTTGTTTTAAAGACTGATCATTAGTAGCAAATACAAAGAGAAGTTTGTTAATTCTGAAGAAAATAACCTTCCAGTTAAATATAATTATTTTCTTTTCCCACCTTAACCTGTACATGCACCAGATTTCACTTTTCTAGGTGAAATGCTAATGCTTTTAGTAAGAGCCAGAGTACCTAAAATTTAATGTTATAGTAAGACAGACTAAAGAGACTCTTAATATACCAATATTCAACAGCTTCTTCACAACTGACCTGAACCATAAGCAGACATGAACAGAGAACAGCATAGTGCTTCTTACAGCCTTCTTATGACAAAATGCTATTAGATATATTTCACAAATCCTTGAAAGGTAAGGCCAAGATAGATCAAAAGGTTAAGATGCACCCACACGTGTTTTTATTCAACAACATCTTAAGGACAGAGTAGATATCTCAAGGTTCAGATTAAGCTGCTGTGTAATAGAAGCCAAAGTCATTCAATACATCTAAGTGAAGGCTTTAATAAACTAACTTCTTCAGTAAAATGGAAAACCAAAAGCAACAAAGTAACAAATATTACCTGATATTTCGGTATCTGTTCTTTGATATTTTGCATACAGCTTACAGACGGACCATGGGAAGAAACGTTGTTCCCATTGCTTGCTTGGCAGTTCCTGGCAGAAGTCTTTATAGAAGCCTCTTCTGCCATTTTCTATGTCAAAACAAAACAATATGATAAAAACTATTGAAGGAAATCTGAAAACTCCCATCTCTAAACATATCATGGCAACAATATTCTTAAAACTACAGGAAAGCAATAAAGAATACAGGAAAGAAATAAAGAATACTCTTATTCAGTTCAAAAAATATGTATCAGTTTTAAAATAATTTTTAAATTATCAGAGCAGCGTCAGAGCAAGTGTAGAACTGCTCTCACATTCACACTGTCATATAGGTTTTCATAGTCTCACATATGATCAGAGTAATTAATCAGTTTCTTGGGAAGATCACTCCCAATTGTTATGAATGACTCTGTAATATTTGCCAAAATTAATGTAAACAAAATCTCATCTTATGTGTTTCTTACAAATCAATTCCTGTAATCATTTGCACAATTAATCACTCAAATTGCATATAACTTTTGCTCCCCAAATGATTAACAGATTTCTAAAACAGAAGAATAGCCAGCAAAAACAAGGGATGAATAATCCATCATTTGGTAAAATTAAAAGGATAAAGACAAAGAATGTATTTGAATATTCAATGTGAATAAGCCTTACTGTATTTCAGAAAAACACCCAGTATACACACATATGCTTCCTTGACTTTAATTTAAATGTGACTGAGTTTGAAAGTAATTTTGCCTTAATTTTAAATGAATCAAGTTTCAGTTTGGCTGCTTGATAACAACCACTCAAAATCATTTTGAATGCCATGCAAACACATAGATGTTAAAGGTACTTCGGCTGTTTTAAAAGGGTACCTAGATTAGTGTCTGGCTAGAAAACAGATTATAGCCTGTATCATGTGTTATGAGGGAGGTTATAATCTCTTTTATATCAGTGTTGCATTGAGAGTGTCTGATAGGATATTTTCTAGCTAACTTTTAGCTAAAGCATTCAAGCAAGTGGAAAATTTTAAGTATTTAAATGAAGCCAGAAATGTATTTTTTGCTAAGATGCTGTTTGTTTTAAAACAACTGTAAGATACAAAGTAATGACCTTGATTTTGGGATGGGGGTGGGGCAAGAGGGGAAGCAAGATTAACAACCAGTCTGACCCATTTAAGCTCTTAAGTAGATGATCAGACATCAGCTGATGATGCTCATCAGTCTTACTGATTCAGCACAATGGCATATTTACAGTGTGACTGAAATAGAGATTGTTGCTTTTCAAGCATCTTCGTAAGTAAGTTCTAACAAGTTGTGACTGTTCTTATACAGGTGTATATATATAGCTCTGAAACCATGCTAGTCTAGCAAGCTGAAGCTGCTGGTTCTAAAAAAACTTCAAAACAAACAAAAAATTGAAATAATTCAATGTAGAAGAGAAACAGAGGCAGTAGAAAAAAAAAAAAAAAACAAGAAAAACTACCATAAAACAGAAAACACAATTGGTTTACTGATCTTAAAATGACCCAAGTTTGCTGAAAGCTTTATGCCACAATTTGTGTGCTTGGAGAGAAGCAAAAAAACTTGCATCTTGACAGCATCTACTCTTGCTTCTGTGTTTCACCAAAACTTACATGGCCACATACATCACCATATGTCATGCTTACACAATAAAACATGTTTATCCAGTGAAGTTGTTTTAATTCACATAATGACAACAACTTTACTAATCCAAACACCAAAGGGAAAAAAGCACCTTTGGACACACTGTGGGCATCGCTGAAATGGATTGCACAGCCAGGGCTAACAATAAAAAGCAAATCCAGTCAACATTAGGAAGGCTGAAGAAATACTCAGTTTAAATGGAAAGAGATTTCTTTGCCCAGAAGCACATCTGGATTAAGTTGTTACATTTGAATACCGTATTTATATTATAGATACCAAATGCCAAGTATGTTCATAAGCTTGTTGTAATCTAACACATGCTTGTTGCAGCTATCACAGTGAAAGATCACAAGAATAAGAAGTTTACACTGTCCTACTAAAATAAATGCTTTTGGAAAGGAAAACAAAAGAGCAGTAGGACACCAGCAAAATTAACATTTCATACCTGAACCAGAGCTTCATCAATTTTGCGGACTGCTTTGGAATCAAATAAGACCTGTCTGCCTCTCCTCTCACAGTCTTGGTAAACTATCAGGCGGATTTCATTCAAGTCAAACTCTGAAGAGGACCAGCTACAGATTAGAAACAGGAGATGTTAAAATAGTGTGTTTACTTTGCAGGTTCATTTAAGTAAACAAACAGGTATTAGGCAAAGACACATTTTACAGAATTTACAGAATCCAGGGTGCAAACCATATAGCTCCAAGCAAAAAGGAACTCCAAAGCAGTGTCTAAGCTCAGTGTCACTGACAAAGGCAGACACAGCCAGACCAATTTTCATCAAATCTTTTTCCAAAATTTTCCAAGAAGAGAACACAAAACATTATCTCAGCCATCTGCTCCAGGCCTTAACTGCCATTATTCTCTTCTCTGTACACGGCTTGGATCATGCTTGTTTTAAGATAAGCATACTATTTTATGCAATACTTCCAGTGACAATAAAACAGAATGGATTATCATCCTCTCTACTGCAGCCTTTCAAAAGCACGAGGTTTACACCCTCTCTTCCTTCTCTAACAAACACAAACCTAATTCCTTTTGACCTATTCCTGACAACGTAAGCTAAGATTTTCCCAAAGTTTAAGCCTTGCAACTGATAGACAAGGTTTATGTTGTTCCATTCTTTTTCCCCCACTTCTGAGACATTTCAGGGGTTACAGAGCAGACATCAATTACTGAGACTTGATCTCCAGCTGCAGTGAAAATCATTTAGTACATGAAACCAAGACACCTGAACTTCAACCTGAAGCAAAACTATTCTCTCAAACCACAATCTGCCCATTCTCCAGAGATACAACATGGCACACAACCTGCCTCACTGCACAGGGGCTGAGCAGCCAAACTGATCCTCTTGGTGATGACAAGAAACCTCATTTCCTAATTCCAGGAGTCAGTCTGCTCATCAGAGCATGGAGATTTGCTTGGCTTCAGCTCCAGAAAACACTTTTCAGGTTATGCGACTGACAAGCTGAAATCAATAGGAAAAACCTACAACTGCAAAAAGCAGTGCCATAGAGCACTGATGGACTGCACCTGGGGGGTGAGAGTACAACTGTTATTAATTGTTGGTTCAACAAACTGCATAACAGACTTCAGTCAAGGCCACACTGATCTTCCACCCAAAAGGAGATTTCATTTAGGAATTTCCCCAAACTGCTTTACAGAAATGGGAGGTAGGTAATTGAGAGAAGAGCATAAAACCTCTACACAGATGAAAGACTAGAATTTATGAAACTATTTCTTTTATTCCATTCTCTATCTAGCTCACTATTGATTTATGGATGTTAACACTATCAAATCCTTCTAGAGTCAGGATAATTGCTTTAGAAGCACACTTGCAGACTTGTGATTTTAAAATAATTTTAAGTAAAGCCAGCTTAATTTCTTCTTTGTGCTCTTTCAACATAGCTAAAATAAAAAAAAACCAAACCTAAATAGGCATATTTTTTAAACCTGAAAGACCTCAATGTGGAGGTCTATTTTTAAACAACTTGGGGACAGAATAAGCCAGATACTTATCTCCACTATAAGGTGTTCTGATACAAGTATATTATGTGACCATAATATGCAAGGTTTCCCATCATACAATGATGATAAAAGCTGTTTTGCCACCCACAGTGAGAAAACTTCTTGATATGTATGTAACACTGCCTCCAGAACTGCTGAGAATGCCAGGCAGATTTCTTTTCAAGCCTTCCGTTTCAAAGGCAGCCACAGTATTACATTAACCTTCATGAGACCAGACCTGATACCATTGCTGATAGTTGCCCAACAAAGATCCTACACACCTTTCTTACACAGAGTGCTGCAACTACACCATCTGTTTAAGAAGTCTGTTACTAGTTTCTCAGCCCACTGCCTGTGCAATGCTATTACAAAATCCAGTTATACTGAATGCAAGACAAGTCAGAGCCATCAATACACTTCATCCTAGTCTGCCACATGAATCTGATACTCTTCAGTACCAGATACCCCAATATCTCTTCAGTTACACAGCCATCTATTTACTTTTTGCAACAGACAACCTGAAGTAACTACATGTTTTCTTAAAAAGGGTGCAGGTCTTTCCAGTCTTTAACAACAAAGAAAAGGTACATCTCTATGGCTTTAGCTTAAATTCTATGCAAGCGCAAAGCCTTATTTATCTCCACAACTGGCACAGCAACATCCATACTTCAGACCACAGGCTTGCAAGTCTCAACTGAAAAGATTCATTTCAGACACTGATTGAGCCAATCTAGCCCTGCATCTGCCCACTGATGCAGGGTTGCATGCAGGCTGGGTTGCATGAATTCAGGTTTCCTATGAACAAATGAACTCATTAAGCACTAAAGCAAACCTCATGCTGTTCATGCAGTGCTGACTTCTGTATAAGATATGAACTGGATTTTATGTTAAAATAGAAGCCAATTTAACAGCCTTTTCCACACAACATGCTAGAACTAAAGATTGCTGCAATCTGTCAGAACTACAAACACATTCTCTAGTACCAGACAGCAACAAGCTAGGAAATTACATAAAATCTATCATATAGAGCTTTATGTGACTAGCAAACCAAACCTAGGCAAGTAATTTCAGATAATGCTTCTTATACTTCTAAGCATATATCAAACTTATGTTTTAATGATGCCATTGCTTACAGATGGAGTTTCTGCAGCAGACCTACCCATTACAGAAGAGATCCTCATTTGATAACATCAAGCATATCTATAGGCAATTTATACAGGCATATAAGTCCATGTGTTCTCATTACTTCCACATGGAATCCAGCAGCAGGCCCAAGACTAGTTGGATGACCAGGATGTTTATGCCCATCACAAAAGCTGATGAGCACTACTCACAATACTTCCACCCTTTATTGTTTAAATGAGGTTATGTAACACAGATCCCCAAAACAGGGACAGCAGGAGTATTCAATCATCTAAAAGCAGAGTATTGAAGAATACAGACAGTACACAAACTCATTGGTCAGCTCTGTTTTCACACGCGTAAAAACCAAAACCCCCCAAAATTACTTCTTTATCTCTACATCAGCTTCAATATCTATATTGCTTATTTAGCAATGTCAGGTCCTGCATACTCTTAAAAATCAGCTGAAATAACTAAATAAATATGATCTTGTGTATATCTTCACATTTCAGGTTAAATGTGGCTGTTCCAACAGAACAAGTTTTCTTATTTGACCACAACAGTAAGAGCCCCACATATCCTTTCACCCCTTTTTGTAACTATGTAACCTTTCCTGTTACCTGTGTATGCTCTGGTAATTGTTGGATCCTTCCATAAACTTAATTCTCTGCAACAACAGAAGTCTGTCCAAGTACATGAAAGTGAATCAGAAACATGATTGAGAAAGGAAGAAGTAGAAGGCAGTGGAACCTGCACCTCTTGGTGGCAGCATGACTTATACTAACTCACTTCGTGCAGGGAACTATATACCTTTAGGAAAGGGCACAAAGAAAACGTTCCAATACATTCCAAGTATTGAGGCTAGTTGGGATGTTAATTGAGTTTTCTTGTTCCTAAGTCAGTTCTCTCTCTGCTTAGTGAGCCGACTCCCTAAGGGGAGCCAGCTCCAAGAGTACTTGAAAGGCCAAGGCCAGAACAAGGGGAAAAAAGATAAAAGCATGATTCCAAAAATCAAAGGAAAAGTGGCTCCCTCAACACCATCAGTCTGTTTAAGCAGATCAGCTTACCAAGACTTACCTTCAGACTCTACTATATGTAGAAGATGCTAGAACTAATAAACATTATCTTCAAGTCAAAAGAAACCAAAGGTTTATTCATTTATATATTTATTAAATCAATGTGTCTGTGTTCATATGACAGTAGAACCAGGTCTAGTAGAGATACTAAAATCCTATGGATGATTTTTTATTTTTTGAAAGACAGACACAAGTTTGAAACACCTTACAGATATCCTGAAAATTTTGTCCCCAGAGAAGCTTAAGCTTGCTTTATTTTCTCCTACACATGTATATAAGCTACTTTCCTTTGGTTTGTTCAACATTTCTTCAATTAGTTATGAGATTTGGAGGCAAGATCTCTCTTACTTAGGGGAAAGCAGACTTATTTGTTCCTAGAAAAAAAAAAAAAATCACAAAAATTCGCTTCATTCTACCCTGAATAAATACTTTCAGTTAATATAGATCTCCAAACTCTAATGTTTACAAAGAAAGCTTTTGCTTCACCTTTATAATTATCAGCATGCATGCAATAACTGAAGAGTGACCTATTCATATATGTTCAAAAACCACTTCAGTTGACCTTAAACTGTTTTTGAAAGTGACTAACCCCTCACTCCTTCAGTGCAACATCTACAGGCTAGAGAAGCAAATAGACTGAAACATCTCTGTATATTTATCTATATTTTTCTGCTTCTTAGACTAGCAATCCTGAATGTAGAATAATAATTCTAACACCCTTGGGTGCAAAAACGTGGAAAAAGCCACCCCAAACCATATTTTTAAACACAGCTACATAGCTATAAAATCAGACACTGGAGACCTGCTGGCACATGTCTGAAAAGGACAACTCAAAAGTTAAATAAACACTATTCCCTCTTCAGATTACTCTGATGTAATGCTCGAATTAGAGGTAATTTACAAGTAAAGCAGAAGGTTCCACTCTGTTCTTCCCCACTTCATAGCATTCTCTCCTGTCAGCTCCTCACACTGTTAGTACTTGACCCACTAACACAGGAGATGGCAAAAATAGTAAAAGAGGGAAAACTAATAAGGAAACTAGAAAGAGAAGGTAAGATTATTTAACCTTAATTGAAAAGAAAGGCAATTACCCTTTATGCCTCAGTTCGCATATACATAAATCTTATACATTAGAATCAAGAATGTCGGTTCAGTTTCAAATAGGAAAGACTTTCTGGAGTTTCAGTCATCAACATCATCATGAACAAGCTTCTAACAGGATTTTTTCAATTTACAAAATAGCCTTTCAGGCACATGATTATAAATCTAGTCTTACATAAAAATGCCTTTCTTTGTCAAAAATCATATACATCAAAAAAGTTACGTGCATACCTGTTTTGCAGCAGTCTAGTCACTTTGTTCGCACAGCTGACACTCTCATCTCCCAAAGACTTTCTAATTCTTTCATCCAATTTGGTACAAGAGAGATTATTTCCAAGTGGTACATCGTTGTTGTTTCTTGCTCTTTCTATTTGTCCCCCAGTGCCATTTACAGTTTTTGGTGTACCCCCACACATTTTCTTAGCTACAAATCCTCTTGTAAAGCTCTCTCAAAGAAACTAAATACCTGCTGAAGAGAAACAGCCTCAAGCAGGTTTCTTCACTATCGATCAACCATTAACAATGGTAATTTACCATCAGCTTTCTTCCCTATAAAGGAACACAGTCTGCTGAATTTCCAATTGGGGGAAGAAAAGGCAAAGCAATCTTGATATATTCTATAAGCCATTAATACAAAAAGACAGCTGTAGCTAATGTACTCCTGCAATTATTCCAGATAGAAGAGACAAGACTTTCAGGTTTCAGAAGCCATCGTGGACTTGCTCTTGCTGCTGTCAGAGGTTTTCCTACTAAGCCTGGTGCAAAGCTGTAGCAGATACAACAGCTAATATTGACTTTAGCTATGTTTGTTTCCTGGTATGTGATTTAGGTAGCTGGCAATTATGTAGTCACAAGACTGAACCATATGGCCTCTTTAAAAAAAAAAAAAAAAAAAAAAGCATAGTTGCTTCTGCAGTGACTCGCCCTTAGTTGCAAGGTTGTTCTAACACTGGCTACAACACCCTGTTAATGGCTCTCATGTGAGCAAGTGTCATCTGACAACCCCTAGCAACCTCATATAGCTTAGGAGCAAGTAAGAATCTGTCATCATTGCCATATGGTGATCAGTTTAAAAAACCCAATTACCAACACCAAGAAACACACTAGATATTCTGCACTATACTTGGACAAGAACTTGACACTAGTACTTTGAAAAGCCTTTTTAAAAAAGTATGAAGGAAAACAATGAGAAAAGGTTTGTTGCAGACTTCAAGCTGCTCTATGAGAATTTAGTCATATGCCTCTTAAAATAATTCAGTGGGAATACTGATGACAAAATTACTAATAAAATACTCCTGGCCAAGTAAATTTACGTTTTTGAACAGGACAAAGGAATCAGATCACAGAAGACAGAATATCAAGTCCAACTCCTGGGCTTGCACAGGAGCATCCTCAAGAGTCACACTTAAGCTCTAAAGTGCTGTCCAAACCCTTCCTGAACTCCGTCAGGATTGGTGCTGTGGCCACTTCCCTTAGGGAGCCTGTTCCAGTGCCCAAACATCCTCTAGGAGAGTAACTTCTTTCTCACATGCAACCCCAGCACAACTTCAGGCGAGTCCTTCAGGTCCTGTCACTGGTCACCACAGAGATGAGTGCCTGCCCCTCCCATCCCCTCATGAGGAAGTTATAACTGCAATGAGGTCTCCGCTCAATCTCCTCTTCTTGAGACTGAACAAACTGAGTGGCCTCAGCCACTCCTCATATGACTTCTGCCCAAAGCCCTTCACCATCTTTGTTGCTCTCCTTTGGGGACTCCCTGATAGCTTAAATATCTTTCTTGTATTGCACTGACCAAAGCTGCATACAGGATGTTCTGTTGGGCTCTGGTAATGCTACTGCAGAAAGTTCTCTTCCCCATCTTTGCTTTAAAAACAGTTATCCAGACATATCTGCTCATAACTCACGTCTCTCATGAATTCTGATGCGCTTTCTCCCCATCAGGAAAATTTTAGACATTTTATAAGATAACAGCCCTACTGAAATTTCCCTTACAGGTTAAAAAGGGAAAATAACTTCGTTAATGGTCAACCAGACCAGCAGTAAAGTTAGAAGCAAGATTTCAAAATCCAGTGCTACGTGCTACCTGCTAAATAGCACAGCACCCTTAAAATGGTTTTGTAATCACAGTTAACCCCAACCTCTAAAAACTGGGCAGAAGTGAAACAAAAAACTAGAGCAAGGTTAGGTTGAACAACCTGCTCTGTTGCTGAGGGAAACCTATAGCAATAAAAAAAACAAACAGCTCCACTTCAATCCCTAGAGAAGTGACAAGTACTGGATCACAATCACTTCTCCTCCCAAGTGCAGCAAATAAGTGAAATCTGTGGCCTTTTATCAAGTGATTGAAATGATCTGGGAGAGGACAAAGCTAGCCCACACCTCATTGAGGAAGAGTACTTCAAAGATGATTGGTAACACTGGTGTTTAAAGCGTGAACGCAATAAGTGAAATAATACACTTCTACTAAGATCAGGAAATAACAGCCTTCACTTCTGTACTACCTTTTCCCCAAACAAACCAAAATTCTGGAACATTCATCAAACTGTCAAATTCATATCAGACATTAGTACAAGGAGCTCCTGTAAGCTCACTAAATAGATATGCTTCACAATACTACCTCATCTGTAAATACAATCATCTGTAGATTAATATAAATCCTAAAGTACTTGGGGAATTAACATTGCAAATCCACAGAACAGTTTCTAAACAACCACAAAATAATACATAAATCCACACATGGAAAACCCACAGAGTTCATAAAGTAGATAACACAGCAAACGGAAGAAAGTGTCCTGCTCTGCAGATATAATCCTCTGTGAAGTAGAGTTTAATCACTCCTTTTCTAGGCTATGTGACAGCACCTCACCTTCTCTGTTTGTAGGTCATTTCCTGTCCTTTATCTTCACCGCAAGACAACTGCCTAAATGATTTCAACTCAAGGTAACACTTTAGCAAGAAAATTCAGGGTGGGGGGGAAGAGAAAATAAATGGATGTGATGTAGCTAAGAATCGTATTCTGTGCAAGTTACAGCTGTCCTCTAAAACTTAAGCATGGTTTTCAAATCTAAGAGAATATTTTCAGAGACCCATGCAAAGTTTTATTTTCCAAACAGCTTTTAGAAGTGGCTAGAGAAGCTTAGGGAAAATAGTTTGAATCATACCTGCTGTTACAGTGAGCATTTGTTTCTGCAAGACATACACAAAAAATGCCTAGACTCAAACATTCAGGATTAGTGCCAAAACACATGTTTAAAGATGAAGGGGAATCTCTTCTAGATTGCTTAGTGATGATTTTCCCTCTTTTAGTTCATTGAATAGCTTATGTGGAAGACATAGGCTCCCATCCTCCCTCCTAATTTGAATCATTTACCGTGCATTGTTTTGTCTCTTTCTAAAACCTCAGATATGGAAGAGTTGTGCTGATGCCATACCACATTCCTTTTCCACAATGACTTAAAAGTAGTCCTAATATGGCAAAGCCCTATTAACCTCATGTGAACTACCTTCTTCAAGCATGATACATAGTTACTAGTTTCACACAGGTTAGGCGGGATACATTGCAGATTTGTCACGCAACAAGTGAAGGAAGGTATAATTTGGAGCACTGCTCTCTCTCAAGACAGATTTTCCTGAAGAAAGAGTTCAGGTGGAGAAAAAAAAAACTTCTCAGTATCAAATCACTGTACAGGAGGGTCGCCTTTTTTAAAGGATAATTCTACATGTTCCTCAATGAAATCCAAAACAATATTTGATATATTTGTTCATTGAAAAGCTAGAATTCCACAGATTCCCTGCTTAGGAAAGGATAATATATTGGATTTTTGTAAGGCTGGACGCATTTTTTCATCATCTTTGTTGCTACAAAGCAATATCATCACAGGCACGCACAAAAAATGACAAGGTACACACACTGCTAATAGAGGTTAAGAGATCTACGCAAGTCACCATGAAGTGCACACATCAGCCTTCCACAAACATAAAGAGCAGCCCATTAAACCAGTGTGTCACAACTCAACTTCTCTAAGTTATCAGGAATCACTGCTGACTGGCTTATCTACAAGTCTGAAGTTTGGGAGCTAGCTTTCATAGAGTATTTCAGTAATAATGTAGAAATAAAAAAATAAACCCACTATAAAACAAAACCCTAACTAAGGAAACAGCCAGCAAGTACATTGTTTGAAGTAAGACCACAAGTAGGACAGAGATGGTGCTCAGTTGCTAGTTCCAGAAGTGGAATTCCTCATTAGCAAAGAGAAGAGCTAAAGGCTTGTAATTGCATGAAAAAAGGCATGTATTTAATTGTGTTTTACCATTAAGAGAAGTGTGTTTTTTGTTAAACTAGGTCTTGAAACAAAGAAAGGCAAAGTCTGCGGTAAGGTTAGCACCCTAGGTCCACTACCTAGTTCCTTCCTCCACACAGAAAGCTGTGCTTAGTCTAAACAACTTTCCTCTGTCCATCCCACTTTCTGGTCATCTTCGTAGCTTGCAACAGTCAGGAGAGCTCAGCCGACCCAAAGAAGTCAGTATTTTTCATAAGCTGTTTCATAGTGACAATCTTTATCAGTTCAAAGAAGTGAAAATTTGCTTGTAATTTAACACTCTCGAGGATTTGATTCTGCTTCTTTCCCTGTTTATTTTTCCAAGGCACCTGCTATAGCCGGCTTCCAGCTTTCACTGGAGCCAAACAGCAGCGGCCACCCGGGAGCAAGCAGTGCTGGGCCGGGCGTCTCCGCTGCGTGTCCGGGCCGGCCAGGCCACCCCACCTCCTCCGGCACGCAGCGCTGGGTCTCAGCTAATGCATCATTCCCGTGTCACTTGTTCCAGCGGCGCCATGTGACTGGGCCAGCGGCCAGGAACACAGCTACTAAATACAGACACTGCCAAAGCACGTCTGGGAACTGCCTCTGCCAGAAAATGAGATTAAGAGAAATCATTTATCCTGCCTCTGCCTTTCCCCACCTTCTCTTCAACACAAGGAAGAACTACATCTGAAGGAGAACTTTGAGCAACAATGTAAGGCAGAATCTGGTATTAATAATACCGTACTAGCTGTTACTCCCTTGCAATGCTGTATAAAAGTCTTGACAGATCTCAGACCTTAGTATCTCCTACCTAAACCAGCAGGCCAAGACAGACATCACCACACCTTAGGGCTGATATCCTGAGGCATGGGTTTGGTTGCCTGCTCTTTCCTGTTTCTTCTCACTCCTCTATAAAGTCCTATATTCTATTTTATTCTTTTTATTTGAGAGTCTGTATATAGCTTTCAAACCTCAGTTCAAAGGATTAATTTTAGAACATGAATAAAATTAAGAAAAAATGTTCTTTACTGGACATAAATAAATACAGAGAGATGAACAATGCCTGGTGTTTAACATTCTCCCCAATTTTTTCTAGCTAAATGAAAAATATTTTTTCTGCTATAACACACACAAACACCTTCACTCAAAGTAGCCAAAAACACCCGCATGTTAACAGCAACCATTTCTTTACAAATTTCCTCCACTTCCACTATGAAAAGGCTACATTCACAAGAGGGCTTTGTGAATTGCAGAGGATGTGGCACTTTCTCAAGCTTTACAGACAGAAGTTTAGGGTACTCTCTCCAGGGGCACAGAAAGATTGCAAATCCCCATTTCTCATCATTGTTCTGAACACGCACTCCCATGGTACAAAAGAACACTCTCAAGGAGGGCTAGAGGCAAGTGCTATCCAGGGACCCCATGCGCCTCTTTCAAGGGAAACTGCTTCAGAAGGGGTCAGTTCCATCTAATCCAAAAGCACAAACTCAGCAGTATCAATCCACTTAAAAAGAAATTAAAATTGACCTCCTAAATTCCTATTCTATGAAAAGATATCAGATGTGGCTCTCTAACAGTGCTGACAGCTGAAGCAGCCCAGTTTTTTTTGACCCGCTAACATAATATTGGTAAGACCTCTGTAAATGGTTATGTTAAACTGTTGTAAGAACAAGATGTGTTTTGATCCTTCTAAAACAGAGAATGCAACTGAAAAGTTAACCTGCAATACCCAGGAAGGGAAGGAAGAAAAACTAAGTTGAATATTTATGAGAAAGTACTGATTTACCCAACTGGCAAGAATATGGGAAAGCACACAAGTAGCCATGCTCGATCAACCACAGGTTACTACAGCATGAACAGCAAAGTCCATTGCCTCGGTCTAGATGAATGCCAGGAAATCCTGACTTAGATTGAATGAAGTGATAACATGGACGGATATAACGTCAGCTCCAGCATTTTTCACTAGTTATAGCCAAAAATATGTTTTGCTCCTCTTGTTGTTATGGTAATTTGTTTATTCCATCCAAAACACCTTCCTTAACTCTGTCTTGTAGACAGCGCAGAAAGTAGCTCTCTAGTAACTAGAACTTAATCTTGAAGGCTTAGACAGATTTATTTTCAAGTTTAACTGGAAAGGGAAGGAGGAACCACATCTTGGGACTATGTGCAGAAGACCATGGTAATTAAATCACTCATACCATATACCTTCTCAATGA